AATTAATGATTTTTCGTAATGTTTCTGAATGTTGGATTATGATTCAATTGCTCAAGAATAACCAGTTTAAGTTCGAAGGTGCAGAGGGCAAGTCAAGCTTGAGCTTGGAATTCCAAGTAGAGGGATTCACTCTGGGACACGTATTTTTTATGTATATGTATGACATAGTAAATACTGTTATGTGCAAAAGATGCATTGTTTTTTATGCCATATTGTTTGGTTTTATGGATGCTTGGCCTTGAATTTCCAAAGTTTTGGAGGGTATACGTGTGCGGGCATTATCCTCGACAACCTGAGGGTGAAGGGGGCATAACGACTTCCTTGGGTTTAGATTCCCTAACTTCTAGAGGGATTCCCTAACTTCTAGAGGGGCAGACAGACTTTACCAATACCCTTGTGTAAGGTTTAGATGATGAGGTGTAGTTGATAAATGGATACTCTCGCTACCGTACTAGGTAAGTTGGTTATTTTTTATTTCTGGTAGGGGTAGTTGGCCTTTGCGGATCGGTTGTCACACAAGCATATTTGGGTGCTCGAAAAACGTTTGCGAAAGTTGTGTGAGCATGCCAACTATTTTGGATCTTGTATTTATATGGAAAATAGTTTGTGTTATGCATATTGTTTTGACTGTTTTTCCTAAACACGATTATGTCATTTCACTATCTATTTTCAAATATGGCCGGGAGCCCCCTGATGGGCAGATGAATGTATGTGATGCACACCCCTACTTTTCCATGTAGATTACAGTCCTTGAGAGTCATTTGGTGCTATTCCTAAACCTGTTAACACTTTGGTTCTTGTACCTCATCATCTCTGACAAGTTGTGGTTTCCTTTCTGAATAGTTGAGGGTGCTTCTTGTTCATTTCCTACCTCTGTATAAATTTTGGATGGGTTGGTGTGTATTTAATCTTTATGGTTTGTGAAATAACTTTTTGAGGTTACTAGTACTCTTCCTCAACCTCTAGAGTCGGTTTCTAATCAATAAAGTTTGTATAATGTTTTATTCATTTTTTCCGTTGTTATTAACAACTCTGATCCAACTCATTTTATTTAATTAAAATGCCTTAGCATATTTTGGGAATCTTAGGAGTATAACCCTAGGACATATGTGTTATATTTTAGGGATCCTCGAGGTACGTGATGCTGTCACGTGTCTCGATTTTGAGGTGTGACATGAATTTTTGACCATAGACCCACACTCGAATCCCCTTCATTGTCCCCGGATCTAGAATTTTCGTCATTGCTTGAGTTGCCCCCATGCTTGCTTGAACAACCTCGCCCTCCAGTCCTTGCCATGAGACCTTCACTTTGAGAGCCTTCTTTGGAATGTTGAACTATCCGGTGATGCATTAGGATGTCTTGCATCACTTCTTCACACTTCAGAGTTCTCTTGCCGAACATAAGTGTAGTGCAGAAGTGCTTATAAGACGGAGGCACGGATGTCAACAACATCACGGCCTTGTCTTCCGACTTATAAACTTCATGCAACCTTTGCAAGTCTGCAATATGCCTATTAAAGGCGCTAAGATGCTCCATCATGTTTGAGCCATTCTCTATCTTTAGAGAGTGAAGCTCATCCTTCAATAAAAGCTTGTTGGACAATGATTTTGAAGCAATTTTCTCCCAAGTCTGCTTCACGATGTCTTCCATCGAATTACACAACATGTCATCCGTGAGATAATGTTTGATGAATCTTTTAGCAAGCTCATCTAAGTCAGATGGTTTTCAACTTCTTTCCCTTCCTTGCCAAGACTACGATGAGTTCTTGCTGCTTAAGTACGTACTTCATCCTCTTTTGCCAAAACGTGAAGCTCTCCTTGCCAGTGAACAGCTTCAACTCGACCTTCACACTCGTCACTGGTTGTGGTGTCTTCATGTTGCCCGCCATCGTCAACACAGCTCCGCTCTTAAATTTGTAAAATTACTTGGGCATAAACCAATACATGATGCTGACCTAGGCTATTGATACCACGTGTTGCACCAACGTGCCCAATAGGAGTCCACTACTTGTCCAAACCATGCATCGACATTGTCCCCACCTTAACTTACCTATTCACAACATCTGCACTTTTCAAGAGATAGCCCCCGCAACTCCACGTCTTCCAAAAAGGATTTTCTTGAGCCTTGCTAAAAGGCCTTGCTCCACCTACACCCAGAATTGTCTTGATCCTTGCTCCACTAGTGCGCTCCACCTTTCTTTGCCAGTTTAGGAATTTTTGCTTGAGTCGCTTTCTTGAACTTGTCAATGGCTCCACCTTGAACAAAGTGTGTCTTAGCCGAACCAAGTTCTGATAACAATTGTTGTACTAACAGGCCCGATAAGAGTCCACTACCCATCCAAACCATGCACCAATATTTTCCCCACCTTAACCACCTAGGTCCAATCCTTAGGTTGGTTAGGCCCAATGGACCTCTAGGTATGGGAGTTTATCACAAAAGACCTCCGTGCAATTAGGAGTGGACCAGCTATATTTAAATTGTAGATTATTGTTGTATTGTTGGGTTCATTTTTATACATGATTTATCATGTGATTCACCCAATATTTTGAGTTAGTTCTTGACATTTTATAGTTTTTTACTTTCTTTTTGTGTTTTTATAGATTTTACCTTGATTGAAATGAATGTGAACTAAAAGTGCATTATTAAATATAAAATCTGTTTTTACTCATTTTCATAGGCCAACTTCTTGACCGTGGATCATTATGATCCAGTGCTTGGATGCAGTGAAGTTCTTCTTAAAACTTGTTCCAATGGGTATCAACCACAACATATCTAAAATTTAGCTCCATTGAACAAGTATAACCTCCCAAACCGATCCAGTATTGATGCTAACTCTGAAAATCTGTTTTGGGCCAGTTTTACCTCCACTTGATGTCATCTTATTTCCACTTGTTACCATACCATTTGGTAACAATAATTTACCTTGTTGAAATGGGATTGCCGAGACAAAAGGGAGCCTCTTAATGAATTTAAAAGTCCAATCTCATGATGGGAAGAAGACAAGAAGGAGACAATAGTCAAAGACTTTAGGTAAAAGGTGTATCTTTATATGCAAATGTGAGTTGACAAGGATTGAAGACAACACCACGTGGAGATAGAAAGGAAAATCAATGGAAGTCAGCCACATCAAAAGAGAGGAGGAAGCGTCGCACGTACAGTAAGAAAGGAAAAGAAGATGATAAAGAAATGCATTGGTGGGCTACTTGCTTGATTATTTTAAGATTGAGTGATCCATTCCTTTTGCTATAATAGGGCAAGCACGGTAGATGGAAGGGTGTGCAATTCTTGGGCACCAAAGAGAGTAGAGGTGCATTTTTTAGGCACCAAATAGGGGAGAATGGCATGATAATTGGAGAGAATCATGGGGAGCCATGAGGCAAGGATCCAAGCGGTTGATAATGCAATTCTGTTTCTCCTCCTTGTTTTTAGTTTCTTTCATTTAATTTTTTTTTTTGTATTTTCTTAATTTCAATGTAACTTCTTCTTTTTCTAGGGCTTAGGTTGAAGCCCTAAACATGATTACTCTTGTTTTGATGCTTTGAGTTTATGATTTTCTAGATGTTTTTTATGAATTCGCTTTCACTAAATTAATCATATGCTATGTGTTTGCTTCCTTTGATTGCTCACCTTAGGTTGCATGCATCTAGCTATAGTTGAGAAGTTGTGTAAGATACCCAAGAACACATATTCTAATTAGCAACAAATGATTGAATCATTTCTAAGTGATCTTTATGTGAATTGGTTTCTTGAATGACTAAGGTAAACACCATGTTATTAGGGGTCTTTGTGATGTTCATATTCTCTTCAATCTCAATGGGTTTCCTGATATGGTTAAATCGAAGTACTAAGCACATCTATATCGAGTGTATGGGAAGCATGAGTATTGTAGCACTAGCCACGCACCTTACTTATTTTAGAGAGAATCAATACGCCTAAAGCCACTAAACCCGATCTTGATTGCAAACATTATCATCAATGTGTCTATAGTTCTTTTGCTTTGAGTATTCAATAACATGAGTAGAAGTGTAGGGATGGCTTCATAGTGTTCTAGTGTTAGTTCTCTTAAATTACATTTTATTTTTCAGATTTGTTAATCCTCTTAGTTAGCATTTCTTTTCATAGGTGTCTCTAGAATTTAGTTTTTCAATTCAAACCCCCCATGTGTGTTGTTTGTTTAAAGTGTGATTTTAGCCTTAGAGTTGTGTGACTTTGTAATTGTGTTTTTCTTTCTTTTTCTTTTCTTATTTCAACTAGGAAATCGAATAGAATTAAGCGACCCAATCTATGTGGGATCGACCTTGCACTTACATAAGCTTACTACCAATGGTTTGTGCACTTGCAAGTATAATGTGTGTCCGAAATAATCTATGTTTTGTAGGTTGTCTAAAACATCACAACATGTATTCTCTGATGTAGGACTTACACATCATGGCTTGTATCGAGCCATCTACACCAACAGATCCCACATATAAAAAAATTTATATAAAAAAAAATCATATTGATGATGAGTGACAATGCTAATACAGAAATTATAACAATATACCTCCTCACAACTAGTTCTTCATTATTTATTGGTAAATAATTAGAACAATATGCCTCCTCTCAACTAGTTCTTCATTATTTATTGGTAAATAATGTAGACGTTCTTGCTTTTCTTAGCCTATTTTAATGTCAATTATTTATCGGAACTATTTTGATTATGTACGAGGAGAGAGTCAAATCATGGACCTATGCTAATTTTGACATTTTTCATTATTTATTGGCGAAGAATGTAGTTGTTCTTGTCTTTCCGAGGCCATTAAAGCCCACTATTTATTGGAATTTCTTTTGGTTTATGTAGGGGAGCTGAATCCTAGACCTATGCTGACCCTAAACCCATTTTTAATTTAAAATTAAATACTAGCTAGTGCAAGAGTCAATACAAGTATACAAAAATGGGTTGGTTTTAATATTTTAGTTGCCAATAAATGTGAGCAAACTTGTTTGGTAAGACTGACTATTGGGAATTGGTTATTAGGTCCAGTGACTTTATTTTTCATTTTTGCTACTTTAAAATCGTACAGAAACAAGGGGCATTACCGCAAGCACAGAAACAAAAAAAACATTTATTTTGAAACATACGGTACGTGCAAAAGCTGCTTACAAACTAGACATGGATTAAACCAGCTTGGCATGCAAACATACGACTACAACTCGTCTTATTTATTCGGCCATCAGATTATGACTCATAATTAAGGAAAACTCCAATCTCCAATGCTTAAGCTTTCTAGCTAACTAATTAACTAATTAATTAGCCAGAACATAGGCATCGAGCTCCTGGAAGTTCTTGACAGCAAAATCCTTGATGAGACTTGGATCAGGAATCTGTTCGTGGGCTTTCTCATACACAGATGACCATTTCACCAAGCTCCCGTCTCCCTTGGGAGTCACGGTTAGTATGCACTTGAAGCTCTTGTAGTACTTGAGCAGATCTCCGTCGATCACCTTGTAAGCAACTGACTTGTTTGCTTCATCCACTGCATCGATCGCCTCTTTCGATACTTTCACAATTGGAGAACCTACGTAATAAAAATTAAAAAATGTCATTTATAGAAAAATGTTTAGATGTAAGTAACATAAGTCTAACGAGAGAACATTACACATTATTTTTTATGTTACCTTCCGAATATGTTATGAGGCGAACAGAGCCAACAGCTTTTCCATCGCCTTCAAGGACATCAATGCTTTTGTAGTCATGAGGGAACGCCTTGGGGAAGATAGTGGTGGAGTTCCTAAGGCATTCCCAGAACTTTTGTGAAGGAGATTTCACCTCAATTTCGACCTCAAGCTTTCCACCATTTGAAGCCATTGTTGCAAAATGTTGTAGCTAATAATCACGTGGAGTATAACAAAAGAGAAATGGACTAATTGTGTAGAGAATTGCTTGAGTGTTTGAGAACTAGGCAGGCATTATTTATAGTAGATTCAGAGCTTTGCTGGTCTTAAATTCAGTAGGAATAAGCTCACCTACCACTTTATTAGCCTCGCTCAGCGGCACCACGAAAATTGATACCTTTCACATGCGTCGTATCGTGCACTGCGTGGGATGGCCGACGGGCCCAATTACATTTATTGGTGTTGTTCTTTGGTGTTACAAGTTTTTTTATATACCAATGCTTTACCATGGGTGGAACTAGACCTGGGCACGGATCGGTTCGAAATAATAGAAGGCTCTTTCGTTAACTAAATTAAAGATTTCGGATCATTTTCTCTTCTGTTAATCAAACCAAAGACTTCGGTAGACTTCGGATCGGTTAACCTAATATTCGATTCAGATTGGCCGGTACATCGGTAGTATCGTAATAAAAACATACTAATAAAAATACAATTTATAATACTTTCACATAACATAAGTTCTTGAACAAATACACCAAATTATCCATGTAAAATATAAAATCCAATAGTCTAATTCATCCAAGTATGAAATCAAATAACTTAGTCACTATATCATCCAATATGTACTCAAGATGTACTAGGAGCCACTTGTGTTTGTTGTTTGAACCTTTGAGTGTTCTTTTTATTGAATTCTCTACATTTATGTAAATATTTTGACATTTGTTCAGCGTTGGGTTCTTTAGTTTTTCATGCTGAATCCAACCGTATAAAAAACATAAAATTTGGATCAACAGTTGAAAGTTACAGGTAAAAAACGAGACAAAGGTCAAAACTGGAAAACATAGAAAGTTCATAAATTCCTCTCTGACCAAAAAGTGCTACAGTACCCCGGGTAAGTGATACAATGGTGATAAAGAAATGATACAGCAGTGATAAAATTGTGATAAAGCAATGATACAATTGTGAGAAAGAAGTGATACAATAGTAATAAAGAAGTGATACAAAATGCTGATTGTATTTACCTCTGGTTTCTTGTTTTGTATTTAAATAATAAAATAAATATAAATATCGGATCGATACAGGTTTCCATCTGGTTAGGAATTTTGTTTCCGTTAACCAAACCAAACCAAACATTTTCAGTACAAATCGGATCGGAATAATTAAAATTAAAAAAATAATTATTTAACCAAATCAAACCAAACTGTCGGTATGCGGATAATTTGAATGAGATGCCCACTCTTAGGAGGAACCAAGGCAAGGGCTGCCCTTGGCTGTAGTCCAGGAAGGTTTGGGAAAATAAAAAATTAAATACACATATAGCCTAATATTTTAACAATAAATAAATAAATAAATATACAATTTCAACACCAATAGCATAATTAGGGGTCTTCCACATTGTATTTGGTGTAAAAGTTTGTCCCAACATCAATTTTAAAACATTTCTATTAATTTTGTCTTCAAAAGATAAACATTTTTCTAAATGAAATTCACCCTTTTGTGAATAATATGGCTTTAATTTCATTTTTTTTTCTTGTGTTTACAATTAGCATGATTTATATGATTTAATGTATACTTTTATTTCTAGAAAAACTATAGAAATGTAAGTTAAAAAAAAAAAACATTATCATTAGATTTTAAGCTAATAATTTTAGCTAACCCACCTATTGAAAAATTATGTGACAGATGACATATTTTATAAATGACATATTTTTTTAATTTTTATAAAAATATGTCATTTATAGAAAAATGTTTGGTGTTACAATTTTTTTTATATACCAATGCTTTACTATATGAAAAGATTTTTTTTTTTAAAAATACTAAAGCATCACATTTTTAATTCGTTTTTTACGGAATAAATCACATTATGTGACATATAATGTATTAATAATATTAACACGTTAAAGGTAATTCATATAATAAGTGAATACTACTTTCGTACATTAATAATTTGATTTGGTCCCTCTACACGATTATTTACTTGTTTTATAAATATATTTGATATTAAAAAAGTAGGTAAATTCACCTAAATTAGAGGCGAGTTGCTCCACAATGCACAACCATTAAGAGTTGGTGAACTTGGACCAAGATTTCATTCGGGTCATGATCCCCAATCAATAGAGGAAAACCTGGCTAGGCTAACCGTACCAGCATTCATTCATACATATGTTTGTAGCGACAACCACTCGTAACCTCCTCCATTTCATGCAACCATAAAGAATTGTGCTTGTGCGATCTTGCAGAGCCTTTTTACTTTTTAGCACTGCCCATGGATATGTGATGCTTTTCAAAAATGATATGAAGGAAGTAACTTGAAAATGGAAGATTGGAATAATATCAAGCTTGGGTCCCATATTGACCGTCTCATTACATTGTCCATTTCAACTATAGAAAAATGGTCACAAATCAGACAACTAAAACATGATCACATAAACAGATGAAAACTCCCCCTCAACGGCAACCTCCTTTATTTTTGTGGTTTTGAGAAATTGAAAAAATGTAACTAAGAAGAGAGAGAGAGAAGAGAGAGAGAGAGAGAGAGAGAGATGTAGCAGCAGCTTCCATTTCCTTATCAAACAACTTCCCATCCAATGTTAAGCAAGCAATACCAACTTTTTTTCCTTTTTCTCTCTTTTTCTTTTTCTTTTTCTTCAAGTAGCTCTTTTCTGTGAGAAAACTACTGTTTAGGTTGTTGGCAGATGATTTGTTGGGTACTCTCCTAATCTAACTTCACTTGCTCTGTACGTACACTCTTGAGACAATTCTCATACCATCCAATCTCAGTTTCAACTTAATATAATCATTTTTTTCTTCTTCTTTTTTGTCTGTATTTCTTATTTGATCAGCACCACGCTAGCACATTATGGGAAATTTTAGTTTCTTTTCTGCTCTGCCATGCATTCTGTGATGAGTGTCGTGGATGAATGGAACCGATTCCCATTCTCCATCCAATTATCTGAAAACAGAGAACCACACCAAATTTAAGAACCATTATGCCTTTCAATTTAGTCTCAGCATGGAACAAGCGCCGGAGGTCCAAGTCACATGACCACACAGACCCTTGTATGTTCTTTCTTCTTCTTCTCTTTCTCTGCAACTTTGTTTTGCAGGGTGCTGCTCACCAACTTTTTCACACCTTTCAGGGATTTATAAACCGGTGGAGTATTGGCAACTTGATGATCAAGCCCCACAACCCCCAAAAAGACACCATCATGGTTCATCAATTTTCACACTCAAAGAAATGGAAGAGGCAACATGTTCATTCAGCGAAGAGAATTTGCTCGGAAAAGGAGGATTTGGTCGTGTATACCGAGGAACTTTGCGGTCAGGGGAGGTATATTTCGTTCTATAAATATCTTTGAAACATTATGAAGAATCCAGTTTCCCAGCACATTCTGATGCAGACCCTGTGTTTGGGAATTTGCAGGTTGTAGCAATCAAAAAAATGGAGCTGCCACCTTTTAAAGCAGCCGAGGGGGAACGAGAATTTCGAGTAGAAGTAGATATCTTGAGCAGACTTGATCACCCAAATCTGGTTTCTTTGATAGGCTACTGTGCTGATGGGAAGCAACGGTTTCTAGTGTATGAATATATGCAGAAAGGGAACCTACAAGATCACCTAAATGGTTGGATTTCAACTCAATATGCATCAAGTAATTCCCATGTAAAATAATCAGTTTGCTAATCTTCAAATTAATCTTTAATGGTATAATAATAGGGATTGGGGAAGGAAAAATAGATTGGCCTCAAAGGCTCAAAGTGGCACTTGGAGCGGCAAGGGGCCTAGCATACCTCCATTCCAGTTCTGACGTTGGGATACCTATTGTTCACAGAGATTTCAAATCCACCAACATTCTTTTAAGTGCCAACTTTGAAGCAAAGGTAAGAGTTAAACAAGCTAACTTTCACTGAAATTTTGTCTCCTGCTTTTGAACTCTGAGCAAAACGTATAAATTTATTTATAGCTGAAACTTGAGCACTATTTCGTATAGGTATCGGATTTTGGGCTTGCCAAGATGATGCCAGAGGGCCAGGAAATACATGTGACTGCTAGAGTACTTGGTACATTCGGCTATTTTGATCCCGAGTATACATCGGTACGCATATCTGAACATCAATGGTTTTCATTGTTGTACATTATATATGTCGCACCAGTAAATATGGCTGCATTGAAATTTTCTTTCTTATTTGGATATATAATCTATCAAAACTCATGCATTCTCCAACTTCTCTTTGTTTGGTCCTGTTAAAAACTAAGAAAGTAGGGGAATAAAAACAACACATTAGCAAATGAGTATTTCTAGACATTTCATGTGATGCATGGCATGCTGCTTCCTGTAATCTACACTTTTATCATCTAACTCACCACAACCCTTCTCAAATGAATATCTTCGAGATACTTTGATCTTACTATTAAATACTAAACAATGTCACTCATATAACAAAGAAGTGTATTTGGAAACAGACTGGAAAACTCACTTTACAAAGTGATGTTTATGCATTTGGGGTGGTTCTTCTTGAACTTCTGACTGGACGTCAAGCCGTTGACATTAACCTGGGACCAAACGATCAAAACCTAGTGGTACAGGTAGGACATATCCTTTCTCCTTCCTACTTATTCTACTGGTTAAGTACGTTAGGTCGTTACAAATATGACCCAAGTTCATTTGTTTCAGGTAAGGCACATA